GTTGACCGTTTGGTCTCCTATAGATGATTTCTTTAAAGGACCACAGTCCTTTTGGGTGATAGTCTTTGTGACCAAAAAACTAAATTCATTGCCATTGAGTCGATTCAACTCATATCAATGCCCATTGGGTTTCCAAGGCTGTAAATCTCTATGCAAGTAGATTGCCACATCCTCCGCCTGCAGAGCAGTTAGTGGGTTTGAACCACTGACCTTCTGATTAGCAGCCTAATGCTTTACCTGCTGCGTCACCAGAGCTCTTTTTATTCTGTGCGTCAATCTGTCATTTAGCTAAATGGTGACCCTGGGGGCTAGTTTTTGTTCAAGATTTACAGAGTATCTCAGGGTGAAATGTGCAAAGACATGGAGTTGGAAAACCAAAAGGGAAGAACATGCTCAGCATTTCTCAAACTGAAAGAACTGGAGAATAAATTCAAGCCTCAAGTTGCAATACTGGAGGATTCTGTGGGTAATATACTGAACAATTCACGAAGCAGCAAAAGAAGGTGGAAGAAATACCAAGTCTAGCCTCCTCAACTGTGAGAAAAGAAATGTTTGTTCAAGTCCAAAATAATGAAAAATAAGAGTATCTCAGGACAATGGTCTCAGGAAATCCTTCGGTCTCAACCAGCCCAGTAAGTCTGGTATTTATTTTCAGGGATGTGAGGCTCTGTCCCATGTTTTTCCTCTTTCTCAGGCCCAGCTACTGCGGCCCTGATCAGAACTGTAGGGAGTGCTTTCTCTGTTATCAGGGTAGAGGAGGCCGTGGTTGTGTGGACCATTAGTCCTGCAGACCAGTTTCCTCTTGGAGTCTTTGGTTTCCTTCTTTGTCAGACAAGTAGAGACCAACTTTTTATCTTACTTTTTTTTAAAAAAAAAAAGCTAATTCTTCTATTTCTATTAATCATTTTAACTGTGTTGCAGTGGCACAAATGGTGAACATGCTATACTGTCAGCCATATGATTGGAGGATCAAGTCCAACCTGAGGTGCCTCAGAAGAAGAGTCTGGCAATCTACTTCCGAAAAAAACCAGCCATTGAAAACCCTTTGGAGCACAGTTCTACTCTGGACACTCATGGGGTCGCTGTGAGGTTTTGTTTTAAACTGTGCCTGCACTGCTATAAAGCAGGATTCTGCTATTATTAATATTCTGACTCTAGGACTGCAGGGATGTTGAGTGACATGCCCCAGCCCTGTTTCTGCACGTGCTCCATCATTCCTGGGGTGTGCTTGATCAGAACACATACATGGGGTCACAGCAAAAACAAGCAGCTGTGACAGAAGCCCATCAGCTGTGATAAATGCCCCCGATTTTCTAAGGTTGACTCATCCCTGCTCTTCTGGCCAGATCGCACACGCTGGTCATGGCTGCCCCTACCCTGCTAGGCTTGGGTGGTTGCTATTAGCTGGTGTTGACTTAGCCCGACTCATGGTGACCCCATGCACAACCAATGGAACACCGTTGGCTCCCGCACCATCTCCGTCATTGGCTGGGGCCCAGACACACAGGGTTTTCATTGGCTGATTTTCACAAGTTGCTAGCCAGGCCTTTCAAGTGTCTGTCAGTCTGGAAGCTCCACCGAAAACTGTTCTGCATCACAGCCACGCAAGCCTCTGCTGCATGTGAGGTGCCTTGGCTGGGAACTGATCCCATTTGCTTCTGTGTATATATGTGAAAATTAGCCTGAATTTTCCTGTCTTGTTCTGCCTTTACCTGGCTTTGGTGTCTAGGTTATCCTGTCCTTTCAAAAGAAGTTGGGTATCCCCTCCTCCCTGCTCTTCCCTATTTTTTTGTACCACAGAGCTCTGGTGGCACAGTGCCTAAGGCATTTGACTGCTAATCAGAAGGCTGGTGGTTCAAATCCACCAGACACTCCTTGGAGGGAAGACTGGGCAATCTACTTCTGTAGAGATACTGCCTAGGAATCCCAAGAAGGGGTTGCTATGAGTTGAATCAACTCCGTGGTGATGAGTTTGGTTTTAATAAGATGGGAATTATCTGTTTCTTGGAGTCCCTGGGTGGTACAAATGACTAAGCCTTTGACTACCAACCAAATGGCCGGCAGTTTGAACATATCGAGGCGCCTCAGTAGAAAGGCCTGGCAATCTGCTTCCTTGTAGACCAAGGATAGACTCAGCTGAGGCTAATCTTGCACAGAAACCAGTGATACAAAATACCTGCAGTCCTTACAGAAATAATAGAAGACAGACACAGAGTAATCCGTCACAGACAACCAGACACTACGGGAGAGAGATCTAATAGATCTACTGTCTCAGGACCATAGTAGTGGGGGACACCAGACTCAACCGGCACAACAAAATTCGTAAAAGCATTGCTCCACACCCTATATTGGCGAATAGCAACTGGGGTCTTAAAAGCTTTCAAGAGGCCATCTAAGCTGCAGCTAATGGTCTAGCATTAGCGTCGGAAGTGAAGAAGAATGAAAAAAAAAAAAGAAGCATTTAGAAGCAATCAGCCCTTAGCACACAACGGCCTTTAAGACCAGAACCAGATGGTGCCCGGCTACCAATACCAACCACTCAGGAAAGGATCAAATCCAGAGATCCTGGATAGAGTGGGAGGGAAAACATGGAACAAAATCCAAAAACTCAATAATGACCAGTTATTGGTGAGACTCCCAATACTATGGCCCTGTATATACATTCTGCATCTGGAATAAAACTCACCCAGGGGCGGGCTCTCAGCCCAATAGTTAACAAGATGTACACGCAGACCACTCAACCCAGGATGACACACCCACATACTCCATGGGACACCGGAGGACCAACATTCAAACTGAGGAAATGCAGGACAAAATGGAGTGCATAAATATGAGGGGCACAGGGGGAGGGTTACAGCGTAGGGAGGGGAGGAGACTGGGTTAGGGTTGGACATGGCGAATGGGGAATGAAACTAAATGTACGCAGTACGTTGAATGTAAAACAAGCTCTTAAAATAAAAAATAATTAAAAAAAAAAAAAAGTTACAGCCTTGAAAACTGCATGGAAATCTGATTCTACGGCAACTGGTTTTGGTTTTATCTGTTACTTGAAATGATGATAAAACTTTAATTGTAAAATCCTCTGGGCTTTGTACTTTAGCAGGGAGGTACTTTTTTTTCCCCATTCTTTACATCTTGCAAACATTCATTAGTCAAGTTTTCCGCTGCTTCTTGGTACGATTTATGCATTTTATGTTTTCCCCTAAACGTATTCATTTTGTGAATAGCAGTGCAACACTGTTTCGTGTAGATTTTCAAATTTATTGGCACGTATTTGTTCTTAACCTTCTTACACCACGTGCCTGGCTGGTGCAGACGTTAACATGCTTGGCAGCCAAGGCTGGGGGTTTGGGGCCACCCACGCGTGTGTTGGAAGAAAGGCCTGGTGATCTCCTTCAGACAAATCAGCCACTGAAAACCCTATGGAGCGTGCACATGGAGTCGCATGGGTCACTCAACTTGACAGCTATGTTTTTTCACCTCTAACACAGAACGCAGAGTCCCTGGGTGCTACAAATGGTTAATGTGCTCGGCTGCTAAGGTTGGAAATTCTAGTTCATCCAGAAGCGCTTTGGAAGAAAGGCCTGGTGATCTCCTGAAAAATCAGCCACTGAACTCTCTATAGAGCACGGTTCTACTCTGACACACATGCACGCTGGCTGACCCCCAGCCCCATCATCTCACAGGAGACCTGGGGACCCTGAGGACGGAGCTCTGGCCAGCCTCGGGCAAGGGCTGCAGAGACAGACTCTGTCCTGTTCTCCACTGTCTTGCTTGGCCTCTGACCTTCAGGTGACCTTGGACAAAGGGCATAACCTCTGTGAGCCTAGTCCCGTCTCATCTGGAAACCAGCTCTGTGAACAGTTCGTTAAGGGCTGTCCTGAGGGATACAGGAGGTGACTTGTCTAAGGAGCCCATCTGGGAGTGGGACTTGCTTGGAGATCTCTGTGTGCTATCAGCTGCTGGGTCCTCAGGGGTGGCACATGTCTGCTCCCCACCCCAGTCCAAGCAGCTGGGGAGGTGGGGAATGGAGTAAGGGCAGTTAATGACCTGCCTGTGGGATATGTAATTCACAAAGAAGGAAGTTTTAAATCCTCATGGACTTCTGGATTCCATGGAGATTGAAAGGATCCACCCATTATAACCCTGTCTTTGAACCTTAAACCTTGAGAAAACCAGTTTCCTGAAAGTCACCTTTAAGTCAAACAATAATTTAGTTTAATTAGTAAATAATGTTTGCCTTGGGCAATGTGCTCTTTAAAAGAACTATTCTTAACCACATCACAATAAAAAGTTAAAACAAAAAAAAACTGTGTAACCAGTTTTGACAAACAGCAATTCCAAAGGTCAGATTAAAAGGTATGTTTTAGAATAAATCAGTAATTATCTGAATTATTCTTCAAGAAAATGTTGCATGACCATGAGTTATTATGTAAACACTATTCTGGCATGGTTCCTATGGCAACATATAATTATTAGTGATAAGCTGGAATATAAGAAATTATGAAAGATTTTTTCCTTTGGAATATTTTTGACTTTCTAGTCAGAAATGTTGCCCCAGTTTGCAAAATGTATATTAAATAAACTTCAATCAGTTCCTATTATTAATTTAATATGATTTTTGTTTGAACAGCAGAGTCCTGCCTTACTTGGGCATCACAGGACGGAGAAACGGCACCAGGACAGGGACATATCTCTCAGGTGGTGAATTTGGCTCCATTCAAGTTTTATTAGGTCCCTTCCAGTCTGGGGCTCCCCACAGTCGCCAGCCTGCTGCAGCCTGGGCAGCCTGCTGTTGGCCCCAGTTATGTCCAATTTCCCAGAGGAATGGTGGGGGGGTTCAGGGCAGAGGAAGAAGCTGGAGACAGATCATCAGCCCTCCTCGAGGGTGGGGCCCTCACTGTCTCCACAGAGCTGGCCCGAGGGCTACCAGTCCAGCGTCCCACAAATCCAAGCTCCTGGGCACTGGGGGCAACCCTGCATGGCCAACTCTTCACTGCTCACATGGCCACCGTGTGCCCATTGGCCAGCCGCCCAGCCACTCGGCTCCGGGGGCCGCCTATGGGGGCTGAGCCGTTCCTTAGCTGTGGACGCTCCTGGCCAGCCTCTTCCTCGCTCAAGTCTGACTCCTCCACATCGCTGCGGATGTCCTTCTCCATCTGGGGACGGGGACAGAGGACAGGGTAAAGCCTGAAGGGGACGGGGCAGGGCTAGGGGCTGGGCTGGGGCTCTGGGACCTAGCTGTACCTGGCCCTTGGTCATGAAGTTGGAGATCATGCGCAGGATGAGGCTAGACCAGAACACATGCAGCAGCTGCAGCACCATCAGGAGGGCGTTGAAGAAGTAGTAGCCGAAGAAGGGCGCTCGGCCGATGAGGGATTCGTAGTACGTGGTGTAGAGGATCCTGTGGCCGGGGTGGGGGTGGGGTGGTGGCACCAGCTTCAGCGGCCCCGCAGGCTCCCACCTTAGTTCTAAAACCTAGCCAACCCAGGGACAGCCTTCCCTGCTCCAGAACCATCTATGGCTCCCTACTGCCCCCCAGGATGACACCTCTACACTTCAAGTAAAAAAATCCAAAACCAGTGCTGTCAAATGGATCCTGGTCATGGTGCCCCATGTGTTACAGAACAGAACTGCTCCAGGAGGTTTCCTTGGCTGTGATTTTTACGGAAGCAGATCTTCCATGGAGCTGCCAGGTGGGTTCCAACTGTCAACCTTCAGCTTAGAAGATGAGTGCAAATTGGCTGCGCTACCCGGGGACCTTACGCTTTAGCCAGGCCTGGTTTGCTAATCTGGCAAAATACTCAAGCTTGCAGACTGATAACATTCCTAACCACAGCCATGAACTTCAAGGGGTGCTGATCCTGGTGCCCCTCCAGCACACTCACCGCCCCTTCTAACCCCCAACTCCACCTTCTCTCCTGCTGCCCAAGACAAACTGTCCTCCATCCCAGCTATAGCCACCGCTGTCTGGCAAAGAGTTAGCACCGCCCCTGCTTCCTAAGGCCCTTTCCACAGAACGTCACCATCCACACCAACCACACCAATCCTGACGTTACGTCACACACGAGAAACGAGATCAAGACCAAAGAGCTCTTTCTAGACCCCACTTCCCCTCTCTGGCTATTCCCTTGTTTCCCTTCTCTTGAAATGTCTTGAAAGAAAGAGCCCTGGTACCTGCCCTGCCCCCATCCTCTCCACCCACAGCCCCTCCCACTCTCCCCACTTTCCACGCCCCTCCCCCATCTTCCCCTCCTCCCATGGCCCCTCACCCCCAGATCAGCCATCCAGGTCATGAGTGACTTCCGCAAAGCTCACTGCAGAGCCTGGCCTCTGGGCCCACTGTGTCTATCCCTTGGTCTGCCTGCCCCCTGGTGCACACCACCTGTCCCCTCCCTGAGGTCCCCTTGCGTGACCCAGGGCCTCTCCAGTCCTCCCACCTCTGCTTCCTCCCCCCACGGCCACACTGCTGAGCTAATATGCACAAATTTTTCTTTCTAGAAGATTCTCACTTGATCCCGTCTCTCACTCTAGACACTTCCCCCATTTATACTTTTCCTTGACCCTAAAGGCAGGCTCCTGCCCTCACCTTTCGTGGACTCCACCCTGGGGTCCCCCGCTTCCCCCATGCTTTCAGGGATCCGTGCTCCCGCCTCCGTACCTTGCACCCTCCCTCTCTGGCTCCAGTGCAGGCTCAACCGTATACTCTGGGAGCCACAGCACAGGCCTCTGTCCACGCCCCGTCCACCGGAGACCCTGGAAGCGTGGGCCTGTGGCTCCTGCGTTTACATCCCTCTCCTGAACCCCAACCTGGTACGCCCCAGCCCCCTCCATGTCTCCTTGTGGGGCCAACTCCAACAAAAGCCCAGTTCCCAGCCTTCCCTGTTTACTTCCACCTCAGCTAACGGCAGCTCCGTTTCCCCAAACCCTGGAGTCTTCCTCTGAATCTGCACACTTGCTTTGTCCGCACCGGTCAAGCCTCATCAACGCCATCTGGACGACTGCAGCGGCCTGCAACCCCCGCCCTGAGCTCTGCCCTCACCCCCCACTCTGTCCCTCCCATGGCCACTAGGGGGCGTGTGTGAGCACCTTAGTCAGGGACTGTTATGTCCTCTGCTCACAGCCCTCCATGGTTCTCACCTCCCTCAGGTAAAAGTCCAAGTCATCCTGCCGCCCACAGAGCCCCGTAGGACCTACCTTGTCCCCTCCCTGTCTTCTTTCGGCCCCCCAGCCACTCCACTCCTCTATGTTCCTCCAATATACCAGGCATGGTCCTGTCTCAGGGACTCTGTGGGCTGTTCCCTCAGCCTGCAACACCCTTCCCTTATGAACAGTGGAGTTCTCTCCCTCACCTCCCTCAGGTTTCACTTACGAACACTGTCACTGAAGCGTCCACTGGCCCCCTGGGCCCTTCCCTGTTTTTGTTCTATAATTAGCACTCGACCCCATGACATTGGTACATGTCTACCTTAACCACCATCCTACCCCCCCCAACGTCGGCTCCTGCAGTATTCCCTCCACTGCGTCCCCCCACCTGGCACATTGCCTAGGCGGCACCCCCACTTCTCCTTCCACTCCACATTCCAGGCGCCCTCAGTGCTGGTGACTGCTCAGCTCTCCTCTCTCTCACCTCTGGGCCTTTGCACAGCCCGTGCCCTATGCTGGGAACGCCTCTCCCATCTCCTCCTAGAAGCTCTGCACTCCCAGGCAGAAGGGGAAGGCAGGCCTGGGGTCTCAGCCATGCTTTCCCCCGTCCTGCTGGAGGACAGACTCACTGCGTCGGGAAGAGAACGAGGCGTGTGTAGAGGAAGACGCAGGAGAAGATGACGAAAAGCGTGTCACACAGGCGCCTCCAGTACGTGTAGTTGAACATCTTACAGGCCTGGGGAGGGCACCGCAGAGGAACAGGCTCAGGCCAGGGGACCATAGGGAAGGGTGGGGCTATAAGGGGAGGGGCCAGGTAAGTCCAAAGAAACCTCATTTCATGGTAAAAGGTGATGAGAAGTGGGGTCAAGTTGAGTTGGGGGGTGGTGCTTGTCTTCAGGACCTAGCCACAAAGGTAAGGGGGAAGAGAGAGGAGCAGGGGAGTTGGACGGGTGAAGCATCACCACCCTGATAAAGCTGAGAGGGGCGGGGCCTCGCCTCCCAGGAAAGCTGAGAGGGGCGGGGCTTCGCCCCTGGGAAGGCTGAGGGGGCGGGGCCTCACCTCCCAGGAAAGCTGAGAGGGGCGGGGCCTCGCCTCCCAGGAAAGCTGAGAGGGGCGGGGCCTCACCCCTGGGAAGGCTGAGGGGGCGGGGCCTCACCTCCCAGGAAAGCTGAGAGGGGCAGGGCCTCCCTCAGAAAGCTTAGATTGAGGGTGCCTCACTTCCCAGGAAAGTGGAGAAGGGGCGGGTTTTGCCTTCACAGACACCAGGGAGAACAGGGAGAAGGTGAGCGTCAGGGCAGGGATGGGGTGGGTGGCGGCCTACCTCCAGCAGGTAATCCGAGGCGTCGTGCAGCAGCAGCACGAGGGAGCCGATGCGCAGCAGGTTGGCGCTGTAGGAGAAGATGATCAGGGAGATGGTCACGAAGTGGTGGGCCACTTGCTCCTTGAAGTCCTGTGGGAGACGGTGGGTCATGGCTGGGACAGGGTTCAGTGGCTGGAGTGGCCCCACCCCAAGGGGCAGGGAGCAGGCGCTCCTGGGGGCTGGTGCCTTTGGACTCCTAGAGGCCATGCCTCCTGCCCCAGGCACCAGGGGGCGGGTCTAGGCTGTGAGGCTACCCCTCCCCCTCCAG